GCGGACGCCGAGCTGAGCGCGCAGCTGAGCCGCCGGCTGGACATCAACGAGGGCGCCGCGCGGCCCCGGCGCTGCAGGGTCTTCAACCCCTACACCGAGTTCCCGGAGTTCAGCCGCCGCCTCATCAAGGACCTGGAGAGCATGTTCAAACTGTGAGCGCCCCGCGCCCGGGGACCCCGGAGGGAGAGAAGGGGGAGGTGGCGGTGGGTCACAGTCACTCCGGCCAGGAGTTCCAGGCCTCGCTCGGGTGGAACAGGGCGGGGCAGCTCAGGCGTCCCGGGGGATGCCCCAGATCCCGCGCGCCCCGAGTCTGTGCAGGCGCGGTGGGAGCACTGAGAGCGGGGGCCGCAGACCCAGCTCAGAAGTTCCCCCCCGGGGCAGCCGAACTCGAGTCCCGGGTGCTGGGTTCGCGGGCCGGGTCCTCCGGTCTCAGCCCCGCAGCGAGCGCGTTCGAGATTTGCTCCGAGCGCAACTTCAGGAAACCGAGACGCGCGGCGCCTCACCTGCCAGCTCTGTCTCCCAAGGGAGAAATTAGCCGCGTTGTCCTCTTATCTCTTAAAACAAAAGAGGAAAGTTACCCTTGGCGGCTGCGCGGGGTCTGAGGTGCCAGCCGAGGCTGAGAACTGGGCGTTGGTTAAACTTCGCAAAAGATCGGGACGTTCCTGGAGCCAGCGCGTCCCGCGAGCCTCCTGGGGTGTCGCCCGAGCTGCTGGCGCCCGTCGGAACCGGACGTGGCGGCTGACAGCGGGTCGGGGGGAGGGGGCGGGGGGCTCATTCCTGTCGCGCTGTGGAAGCCCCTCGGCCCCGGCGGGGCAGCTGCTGGCTCGCTCCAACGCAGGGAGCCGGAGGCAGCGCAGGGGGTCCCTACGCGTCCCCCTTGCTGCGTGGGAACTCTCCGGGCCTCGGTGTCCTCATCTGGAGAAGGGGAGCAGTAATCGCCCCTGCCTTTTAAGGCCATAGAATACTGTTTGCTCACCGTAAGCTCCTGACCGAGCTATTAATATTATTTCCAGAACTGGGCCACGACCAGAAAAATGCCTGCGGGAGCGGAGGCCGCCAGCCAGGTCGCGCTCGGGGCGCTTTAAAAAGTGCTTGGAATGTCTGTCCTCCCGCGTGGAGGTTCTATTTCAGGGCGCCGTGTAGCTGCGGCCTCCGCCCCTGCCGGAGGCTGGGCTGCGGTCCAGCGCCAGTCTCCGCGCGGAGGTCAGCAGAGGCTGGCACCCGGGCCCCTCGCGCCCCCTCCGCTTCCCCCACACGCCGAGCTCCTGGCCTCCAGCTCCAGATACTGCTCTGTGGTGTTGACACCCGGTGGGGCTAGTTTGGGCCATTAAGAAAAGCTGAGTTGGGCAAAGGAATGCGTGCAGCTGATGGGGAGACGGAGAAGCCGTAAGTAACGGTTTGTCAGAGCCCCTTCGATCTGTCTGGGGTCTGCCTTTTACGGGAAGACGCTCTGCAGGGCCGCGCCGGGTCCCAGCGGGTCCTCCAGTCCAGCGGCATTCGGGGACGGCGTCTTGGCAACCTTCTTCAGGATGCTTTCTGCTCCAGAGCTGTCCTGTCATTCAGCACTCTAGGTTGGGTTTTCTGTCACTTTCAACACGAATTGGGGATTAATTGGCTCGTAAAACTAAAAAGGCGTCTGGTGTCAGGTGTGGCTGGATCTAGGCGCTCGGATGACGCCATCAGTGCTTAGTCTTTCTTTTTCTTAAGCCAGCTTCCTCACTGTGCTGTCTTCATTCTCAGGTGGCTTATTCCTGGTGGTGACGTTATGGCCACAGCAGCTCCAGTAGGTCCAGTGAGACAGAGTAACCACAGCAAAGGCGTTATTCATTCTGTCTGTCTGTCTCTCTCTCTCGCTTGCTCGCTCGCTCGCTTTACTATTGTTTCTTATTGGCTCTGAACCAATTGCTGTAGCCAAGGGAATTGGTTTCTCTGAGTAGCCAGGCCCGAGCCCCGGTCCCCCAACCCCTGCAGTGAGGAGGCAGCCTGGCCCCTAGCAAGAGACCGGCGGTGGGGGAAAATGGCTTTTCTCTGGCAAATCTGGGGACTCCTGCTGAGGAAGGAGGGACGCGTGCTGGGGCCTGTGAATGACCTTTACAGCTCCACCTTCAACCCTGACCGTGGGCCAGCTCAGGCCTGCTGCTTTGTTCACCTTCAGCCATATGCTCCGAGGCAGGGGTGGCAGCTCTTGTCATCAGAGAGTGGGATCTGAGGCACAAGTTAGGGTGGAGAAACTTTCCTGGGGATTGTCCCCCACGTCCTAGAAAACAGGAGAGGCAAAGCTGCCACTCTAATCAGAGTCAGCCTAGCAGTGGCAGAGAGAAGAGGCATAGGGTCAGGCAGGGCCTAGGACCTGTGACCCTAAGTGAGTGACGTAATCCCTCTAAGCCTTAGTTTTCTTGCTAGTAAGATGGGCATAAGTACAATGAGGTTCCCATCAGGGCCAGGTGGCTGCTGTGGCTGCCCGGGGCAGGGCCAGGGGAGGGCTGCCTTCTTCCCCCCACAGTGATTTGGAACCCTTCTCCCCCACCTTAGACCTGGGGCTAAGACCCAGTTATCCATCCTGGACTTGAGGAGGGTCGGGCCATAGCCCCCTCATTCCAGGGTCATTAGCTGTGATCATGGGCAAGTTGCTTAACCAATTCTGTCTTTTCAACTGTAAAATGTGGCAATATTTCCTTTCATGGGGTTTTGTGAGACTGAGATGGCATGTGACACAGAACAAGACCCTCTTGCCCAAGACTACCCCCCACTCTGATGCCAAGCCCTGTGTTCATGCCCAGAGCACTCCCCAGTCTGCTCCACCTTCAGGCTACCCACACCCTATAAATACAGGGATTCCTTGACCCCCGCCCCTGAGCTCCCACAGACTCAGCATCTTCCAACTGAGTTCGTTGGTTTTCCCTTCAGGTGCTTCTCCCAGCTTCTCACACCTGGGAGACAGCTGAAACTTCACTCTCCCTATCCCTCCAGGGTCAGAGGTCCTCTGGCTGGGAGAGTTTGGCAAATCCCCAAATGCCAAGCTCCATAGCATCCTTCCTGGGGGGAGGAGGCCCACAGCCTTCCCCTCCCTGGGCAAGGGCAGCAGGGTGCAGGCAGCCCCCTGGGCTCATGGGCTTAGGGACCAGAGCCAGTTGGCCACCGCGGGAAGCTTGAGGTGGCAGAGGATGCTCGTCTGATCTAGTGACTACAGGCACATCAGGGCTCTGCCTTGATTGTCACGTGGCATTCTCCCTGTGTGTATGTTTTCTCACGACCTTCTTATAAGGACACTAGTCATTGGATTTAGGGCCCGCCCGCATCCATTATGACTTCATCTTAATTTATTGTACTTGCGAAGACCCGGTTTCCAAATAAAGTTACATTCTGAAGTTTCAGGTGGCCATGAATTTTGGGAGTATCCTATTTGGCCCATTACTGTGAATGAGCAGAGATGCCCAGACCATGTGGCATCATGACTGTGTCCTCCCCACCTCTTGGGAGGGCAGGGGTTGGAGAAAAGTCCCTTGCAAGGAGGCCCTCCAATTTAGGCAGATCAGTCTTAGCCAATTTAGGTGACCTGTTGACTCAGGAATCTTAGAGACTAACCGAAGCCAGCCTGAGCCCACTCCCGCTGGAAGTGGGGGTCAGTCTTCCCAAAGCCCAATCCTAATTCAAATGGAGTCGCTATCAAACTGTAAAAACAAAACCAAACCAACAGGAAAACCCCCCACTCATGCCAGGAGTGCACTTACTTTCCGCAGGAATGTCACTTTTAATCAGTTTCTAGATCCAGACTCTGATGTCACCTCGAAGTTCCCTGGGAACCTGACTTCGTCGGCACAGAGAACTCTCCTTTTTTGTTCGGGGCTGGATAGATAAATGCAGATACTGCAAAATACGCTTTGATCTTTTCAATGTGATTTTTCTACTTAAAAGTATTTGCCTGAGGATTTCTTACATTTTGGAGATTAAAAAAAAAAAAAAAAAAAATCCTGGATCCTTCCCGGCCTGTGACCATGCTGGGTTCTTGGTGTGGGGGTCATTTGTCTTCATCTGCTGGCTCCTCAATGGTGTGTTGTAGAAGAAAGAAAATTTTCTGAGTGTGGGAAGCCAGAGGCATCGACAGGCCGGCCAGAGAAAGTTCCCTCTCCATTTCCAAGTGCGTTACTGGATAGCCTGAGCCAACAGAATAGCGGCCTGAGACGGCTCAGGAGACACTGACTCTCCAGTGTGTGTCCAGGGCTGTAACACGAGCTGGCCGGGTGGTCAAGGTTAGAAAGGAAATTTTAAATACCGCAGGCTTATCCAGGGGGCCCTCCTTCACAGGGGGAGGGAATGAGGGCAGCCTCTTAAAGCAGACCCAGATACAACGTGTGGAAATGCAGCCGTGATGTTTTTGCAGTATTCTAGAAGCTTGTGTTTCAATTCCCCGAAGAGAGGGTGGGGTGAGGAGCAGAGAGGGTGGGGTGAGGAGCGGTGGGCTATGGGAAAGTCGTCTTTTTAATAAGAATCTGAAATGATGATGTCATGGACGCCCTGCCAATACCCCATTCCCTCACCACCTCTGAACCCCCAAAAGATGAGGTGGTCCCGAAGCTCTTCATTTCTAGTCTCTCCCTCCCCCAGCTCCTTTTTCTCCTCCTCACTCTGCTGAGGCGGGCAGCCTATTCCGATCCGCATCTTTTGAGGGAGATGATTTTAAAGATGGGAAAGGTGGATGGAAAGAAAGGGAAGTTAAGAGCTTTTGTCTCCTTAGGGAAAGGAGAGAGCGTCTCTCCTGTAGCCTCTGTCCACAGCGGGTCCCCCTCAGATCTGAAAGCCCCTCACCTGTGCTAGTTTTTGCATGCGGGGCTGTTCTGTGTTGAGGGTGGGGCGAGAGAACCCGTGGCTTGTCTGAATTCCTGGTGGTGTTGGGCCAGAACCCAGGCCGGCTTCTGTTTTAGGGCCGTGGTCTCTGGCGGAAAGACAGCGTGACTTGGAACTGTTTCTTAGCCCAGGGTAAGCACTGGCTGTTTTTGTTTGCCAGACTCATGATCGTGATGAACGTGATGAACGGGATGGATGAGGCGCTGAGGAGGCTCCCAGCTCCTGGCAGTTCTGCTCTTGCAGGGAGCTTTCCCCTCCTCAAGCCTCACTCCCCACCCCTCTCCCAGAAGTCCCCTCCACCCTTCTT